TGACACAATGTTGAATTTCATCATCCACAAGGTTTACATCACAAAGTCTTATGATATGGGAGGCTAATTGTCCAAGCCTGAATGTAATGGCATCTAATTGTTCTGAATCTAAATTTTGTAGCTGTCTTAAAAGATCCACCAATGACCCCCTTAACTGCACTCTCAAAGTTTCCTGTTGTTCATTCATTGTGTCACACTCATTGTGTCCAATTTACTGTGGTTAGATCTGAACTAAACTGAAAGAGAAGAATTGTTAAAATAGCTTTAATTGTGTCGATCTAAATGAAATTGGAGCAATATATTAGAATAGATTATTATGGTTTAATTGTGCTAATTATGAACTACTGTGCAGTAGACCCGTTCAGCTGGGTTAACACATTAGAGTGAAAAACTCTTCCCTTGATGAGTTTAAAGCTAAATCGTCTGGCATATAGACTGAGTAAAACAACAAAATAGGGCATATTTGGGTGCATTTCTGCTTAATAATTAACAAATTAAGTGCCAGCACTCTAGAGAAAGGTGCATTGCCATTGAAGTAGGGAGCTATTTGCAGAGTTTTCAGAGTTGGAATACCAGAGCTGGGAATTGTGTACAGGGCCGCAGAGAGGTTGGCGGGGGCCCGGGGCCCAATTTTTTTTGGGGGGCCCCCCTATCAAAAAAATTTTCTGTTAAAATTTTTTTTCCAGACAACAACCTCCCTCCCCACCCAACCCCCCCCCCCCATCGCCAAAAAAAATTCCATCAGTGTACCATTTTAGGGGTAAAAAAAAATTTTCCGGAGTAAAAAATTTCCGGATGAGTACATTGCAGATACTTTCCAGCGACTTTATCTCATTTTTCTATGCCTTATTTCGGTAATTAGCCAAATAAAACAGATATCTTGTCCTTTGCGCGAAAATATTTAACACACAAAAAAGACTGGGGCCCAACAAAAAATTTTCAGGGCACCTCGGCACCTCGGCCCTGATTGTGTATGGTCTGTTCCCCCAAAGCCAAAGGGAACCCACCAAATATAAACCCCGTTTGCGTATTATTTTGACTTGGTCAAAGACTTTGCCTAGAAGCGTGGCATATAAATATAGTCATCATGCTTTGAATAGGGATGACGGTGCCTATTTGCTAGAGGAATATATGAATCTTCTTGGTAGGTGACGTCATCCCTTGGGTATTTAAGAAGCCACGATCGCAGTTTTAGATCACCCCTGATGAAGACACTAGACTGTAGTGTCGAAACGTTGGGTCTTGAATACAATTCGATTAAACCAGAGTAGCGAGCGAAACATTATATTTGATATACCTGGTTGCAGTGAAGGAACAAACTTTATATATATTTAATCATATTTAACACTTAAAATGTATTAATAAAGATAAAACAACTTCACTTACCTTGCAATAAACCGCAGGAAAACCCCGAATCTTCTTTTGTATTCGCAGAATATGGAAAGCAGCACATAAACACGAGGTTCAAAGGAAATTTGAAGGAAATTCCACGCAAGAAAAATCAAGGAAGTAAATTTCGGGATTAACGGAATTAACATTTTCCAAGTGTTTGGAAGGAAATTTTGAACGGAAAAACACCATTTTGATAGTGGAAGTGGAAATCAGTTTGGCAAAAAGTGGAAACACCGCATGCTGCAAAAATGATGCTCGTTTTGATTTTGACTAAATGATGCTCGTTTTGACTGAATGATGCTCGTTTTGAAACACGTTATGTTCGATTCGAATAGGTGTTGATTGACTCGCAAGTGCGGCTTATTTGATATTCGATTTGACAAATAAACGTTCGATTTGGCTAGTGTTTGCTCGATTTGAATGTATATTGATCGATTTCAATGATCGATTTACATATCAGTCTGCTCGATTCGAGTAAGTGTTGCTCGATTTGCATCATTGGTGAACGATTTAGAACTATTGAATTTTGACAGTAAAAACGCGCCATAGTAACAAGCAAACATCGGAAGCAACAATCTAATAGTGTGAACGCTTCCATTAATAAATCTGCTTGTTGCCGAGTTATGGCACCGTTCGTTGACAATTACTTCTAGATTTGCTTTGCTGTCATGTCGACCCATATTGTCATTGTAACTTGTCTTGCATTGCAACAAGTAAAACGAGTGAGCGAATAGAACGAATGGTTCCAAGTCTATTTTCAAGGACTTTAACTTTAATTTACTTCCGCAATCCATTGTTAGATCCAAACACCGTAATTTAAAATAAATTGTTATAACTTAGCTAATAGGTTAGATAAATATATAACAATTGAATTAAATAGGTATAGACTCACGACCCCACAAGCGTGTAGCTTTAATTAAACGTTATCGTGTTTAATTAAATATTGAAGTTATATCTGATATTTGCTGTGTTGGTGTAATGTACTCAGGTGATTGAGATGCTTGTGTGATGTTACTCTGAGTATATATCCACACCAGGCGGCATAAAAAGCCTGATTGCTATGATTATTAGATTACACTGATATCGAAGGAACTAGACTCAGTTCCGAAATATCGCACATTCGAACCGACCTGACCCCGTAGCTCAGTTGGTAGAGCATTGGGTTAGTATTCCAAAGGTCGTAGGTACTGTAGGTTCGAATCCCGCGGTGGCCAGGCATATGTTTCAAGCCTTCCCGGTGTGGAACACACTCAGAGCAACATCACACAACTGACACAAGCAAAGTTATATCTATTTTGGAGCGCAGTCACTAAGTGTGAGCAGATGTGAGCAAATCGAATGGTTCTCCTTGACGGGAAAATTACAAAACCAGCACTTAACCAACGATATAACGTCTTGCGCGCCGCGCAAGCTATATGAAAAGGACGACGTAAGCTATATGAAAACTTACACATATATACTTTTTATTTAAGAAATATACAACAAATAAAAAATTGGTGAACAGCTTAACGAAGCAAATTTTGTCATATATAATTCATGGGTAAAATGTGAAAAAAATTCGGTTGAAAATCAAAAGTTTATACCTTGATTGCCATTTTCCCACTAAATTCTTCCACGTCAGCACACTTGATATTTTTATACTCTACGCCTTTCCTCGAGAGCGGATTGTTACCAACATTCACATACGCCTTCCCTTGCTTGATACGAATTGACAAAGGCATGTCTGAATGTATCTTGAAAGCTGTTTCGTCAGTTTCGAGAGACGCAAAATAAATCACTCTTGATAAACACCAACAGGCGAATTCGAACTTTGCACCTGGTGAGAGCGTCCCCTGCATTCAACCAATAACAGATGAGCAATATTCCCGTTGGCGCATAGTTAATTAGTACGGTTTATTCTACACCAATCACAAAGAAGCACGGTTGCACGTGATGACTCTGATCTCGGACATGATATGAGCGAACAGTTATATTTTTTAATCCATTGCGTGTGTATGTCCTTAATCCTGATGAGGATTTAAACAAATTGAAAACAATGCTATCTTCACCAGACAAAGAGGATGACGACTCGTCAATTTGCGCAATTGGGTTTTCAAGCTCCCCTGAACCGATATCACCGACAGGGTCGCTGCTATCGAGGCTGCTATCTTCCAAGGAAACGGGAACAGAAGCCAGCTCACCTTTGGCGATAGGATTCAGTGACAGTGAAAAATCATCTCCAGCTATACTTCCATGCCCATGGACAGACGGTACGAAAATCAGAAATCAGAAAACTGCATTATCTATAACAACTGTTTTTGAACATGTATTCTCTTTTCCTTTCAGTTACCAGCTCTCCATTAGCTTCTCCCTCACCAGACTTGACCGCGCTGCTGCGTGAAGAATATTCCTCTCCTTGTGCTATTGGGTTCAGTAGTGACGACTGTGCTGCGGATATATCATCTTCCAATTCAATTTCTTCTGAATGTAAGAGAATAATATAGGTATTTCGAAGCTAAATTAGGCTTAAGCTTTGACATACTGTAGAGGCACAACGTTGCCCTCTAAAATCGTATTCTTGAACGAGTTCTTCAACAGCCTTACAGCAGAACTACCAGACTCTGTGTTTTGTGACATATAGTCATAGAACCAAATTTAAATTGTTTTATTTTCAGGTATTTCGCCTATTGTACTACCACATGACACACCAAAAGTTGATGCAGTGAACGCTGGGGTGAAACAGACCAGAAGAGCTTTAGAATTTGACGGAATTGACGGCAATGCCAATGGTATTGGTAAGGGATAACTATTTCCGTTTCATTTGTAGTAAAAATAATTAGGTAGATTTTATTCGTACTGGAGGTTCTATGCAAGTAATTGTTTGCGTGATTGTTTGTATTTCTGATATCTATACACTTGGCAACTGACCATTTGCGTAATAGACTAAATTTTGATCTGAACAAGTCTAGACAAAAATTTCATCACAGCTTGAAAGAGCATCCCAAAATTAGTAATATTCTAAAGTTTCGTTGCGAAATGTTGTAAAATGTGCACAATATAGCCTTGCGAAGTTTGCAATTTTCAGTCATTTTACATTACAAACGAGAAATTGACAGCCTCAAAAGGTTGGGGCTGTCAATTTCCCTTTTGAGAATACCTCGCAAGTCAAGCTCTACACTGTCACAGAGTTTGCTTTAATATTTTGAAAAATGTCGTTCGGAGCTTCTTAAAATGCTTTCAATTTGTATTTGCAACGAAAAAATAGAAAATGTTAGTCTCAGTTGTTTTTCATCTGATACCCGAAGATGCGAGTTCAAATCCCGCTCGAGCCAACGAATTTTTCGTTGTTCGATTGCAGTGTCAGATTAATATGAAAATGAGAATTACTTAGTTAATATCATGTTACTATAACATAAAACCATGCGCGCAGCAGAAATAAGTTAAGAGCACAAGCAAACAACAAAAAATCTAACGTCATGCGACATAATTCCCCCCGGTATATGTGAACCAGGCATTACTGGGAAAATCTTCTTTAGGCTACTTGCCACCTGGCTAGGTTCCAGATTTTTACACGGCTTAAATCTAGCATGCAACCTCAAACCCACGTAGGTATTTATTCCTAATCCATTTCGTCCAGTATAACCGATGTAATGTCTAGTTCACTGAATGGACCATTGAAATCATTCACGTATCAGTTGCGTTATTTAGTATCATTAGCGAGCTTAAGCACGTAGGACGGCAACACGATGACGACGGCCAAAACAAATTCCTTCAAATAAATGATAGTAAAGATAACTTGTCGTATATTATAATTCGTATGAATTTAATACAGTATAAGAAGTTGAAAACATTGGCTTTATGTTTGGGAAGAGTTCTACTGAACGGAATTTAAGTTGCACTTGGCACGTCTTGAAATGCAGGCGTTGCACAAAAGACGTGAAAATCTGTGATTTGCCGTTGTAAACAGAGCCACGACCACGTCTGAATCTCCCCTGGGACTTTAATTATTTATTCACTTTTCATTGACTCATTGTATTGGTTGCCGTCGTCGTCGTGTTGCCGTCCTACATGCTTAAGCTCCCTAATAGGTCTGATGACTCCGTTCCAGCTTTAAACATGTTTTACCTAGAATACAATACAACGGTAACTCCGAATAAAGTATACATTTTGATTCCATGTTTCGACTTTATTTAGTCATCATCAGGAAAGTCGAAAACGTTGAATCAAAATAAAGTCGAAACGTTGAAGCAAAATGCTTACTTTATTCGAAGTTACCGTTGCATTGTATTTTATGAAAATACTCAGTGGTTCCCGCAACTATAACCTAGCCCTAGGTTTTAATAATCTTAGTGTTAAAATTCATCTCTTAATTTGAATTTTCTATTTTCACTAACGATTTGCTAAGTACAAATCTATAACAAAGCTATTGGTCTTTTAGGAGAACACACTGCATAAGAGTCAATCCGATGTAGATTAAAGGGCAAACGCTGTAGATCGAACTAAAGCCGGTTTTCCACTGGGAATGTTGCGCACGGGCTCTTTCGGCGAAATGCGAAATATTTCGTCTGTTTCTTTTTAATTGTGAGCAATCAATTAGAAATAATCTATTCGAGTAGTCGCAATTCAAAAGAAACAGGCGAAATAATTCGCATTTCGCCGAGAAGGAGCGCTCGTGGAATCAGGCCTTAATTAGTTCCACCCGAGAAATCACAAGACAAAGAAAAATTCCGCTCCGCGCGCAAAATTTCGCCTAGTGGAAAACCAGCTTAAGAGGCATAAGCACTTTTGTAGCGAATATATAGTGCACTGAGTGTTTCCGTTTTACGCCACATCGGTTCTTCATTAGCTCTCACAAATAAAGCACACAATATTATTTACTAAAATGCTCTCACTAAATGAAAGTATCAGTTCAAATCCTGCGTGAGTTAACTTTAATCTTGATGTTTACAACGCATCTGTTGCATGCAGTGTTGAGGTTTTCCATAAAAATAATTATTTTGAGAAAAACGGAAAGAAAATATAAGGCTACACACTTTAAATTAACAAAACGAAACCTTCTTAGTTTCTCGCTTATAGCGAATTGCTCGCCATAAGCTCTTGTTTGCTTCAAGTTATTTTATAGCTTCATTTGAAAGATAGGAAGCGAGATAGGAACTGTAACCCTCTCATAATTTCGCATTTCTTCTAATAGCCAAGCTTTAATTAAATTAAGGAACTGCGAACAATTGTTGAAATTTCACTGACACTGCATGTATCTTATGAATGAAGTCCTAGGCGCTTAGTCGGCGAAATAACGACGTGACCGCATGAAATCAATCAGATTGTAAAACTTTGATGCAAATTAAGACAATTTGTAACTTATAGTCAGAGATAGAAAAATAAATAAAAGTAGCTTCTATCAAATAAATGCTATTAATCATGATCACAGGCATGATTAGAATCACAGGCATGATTATTTGTTGAATGGCCGGACTTGCCGGACTGTGAATCCAGCAAATGTGCCAATACTATATACTCTATGGGTAACTGTTATGTCCTTTTGCCTAACGTCACTATAAGTCGACTAAGAGCAAACATTTAAAATTACAGGCCAGGGTGTCCTAAAAATATGCAATGCGAAAGGTTGAATGAGCCTCGGAATGAGCGATGGAATTTACTTCATAATCATATGGATAAGAGTATAAATTAATGGACATAATTGTAGTAATGGATATATTTGTATCAGCATGGTAAGCCAAAAACTACCAAATACTTAATAGTAAATATATGAAATACATATTTAAACAATACTATAATTTATGTTTGTGATGTTACTTTGAGTGTATATCGTGGGAATCAAACCTACGACCTTTGGAAATCTAGCCCAATGCTCTGCCAACTGAGAGCACTATAAAGACCGTATCAAGACCTTTGTGTATATAATAATTTAAGATTTTGATCGCGATTTACAAAAAAACTGCTAGGTGAACCCACAAGAACTTTTTAGATTTGGATTCAGCGTCACTTTATCTATAAGAATAGGTAATTTTCTTTTAGTTTAGTTAATACAGTAATAATCTCCAAGTGAGCTTAATATATTATTTTGCCACGATGTAAAACAAATTATTGTCAATTAATGCGAAGGTGAAAGCATTTTTATTCTATAAAAGATGAATTACGATTTCATACGCTGGGCTGTTGTCAATGATTTTCACTTTATGAAAATGTTAGGGATTAATAGTGTGATTAGTGCCGTCTGAGTATCAATTGTTAAGCATGGATCTACGAACAATCAATCCATTTTGAAATGCCTAAGACCTATTCTTTGCTCATATTTCAGTACAACATCAAGCCAAGTGTTGGTTTCAAGAAAAATTGTTTTTTGTTGATATTGGAGATAAATGTTTGGATTACAGACAGATCATTAAAATACTAAAACTCCATTCTGCCCACGTTGCTTCATTTCTGTCAAAGGATGTTACCCATGTAATAAGAATAAAGAAATATCCTATCAACAATAAATACACTGCTAAAAATCAACAATACAGCCGTGGTAAAAAAATGGTGCAACTTGCTCTCAAATCACAGACATCGAATTCAAAGGAAAGCTCTGTACAGCACCCTTATACAGTCCTAACGCCAAATGTTGTTATGTCATTCTCAGTGAAATGTAGCTTAGAATTTAATCACCTGGGGCCGGTTGTATCAAGCCCGTTTACCTTAAACGGTGGATAAGTCAAAATTAAATAACACTCTTATGTCTTTCGTGAATCAGTCAACTTAAATATTCTGCACTGAATATATAGTTGTAAACATTATCGTTCCATTAAGGTTCAAAACTTTTAGTTTGGTTGTTTAATGAATCTATAGACTTGCTTTCTATTTTGAGCTTATAACCACCGTTTAAGCTAAACGGGCTTGATACAACCGGCCCCTGAACAATAGAAATAGCTAGCAACCAAATGGCAAAAGCAGCTGTGAATGTAAGAGAATTGCACGGATATTAAGATTGAAGATGAAGCTGGCATGTATAGGCCACTAATAACTGAAATGACTGAATGGCCAGAACTTCATTTTGACAGTGACACTGACACCCCATTCTGTTATCCAAAAGTCAAGAGAACGCCATTTTCTACCAAACAGTTTGGTTTGCCACCAGTGCTCAACTTGCAACTAGATAACTGCTGGCGTGAAAATAAGAATAAGCGTGTTTTCACACTATTATCATTATTAATAGAATGGTCTGTGTTTGACAAGGTATAGCAGATTATGTCATGGGGCCCAGTTTTTTAAAGCACCATTATACCTGATTTTTAAAATTTTAGAAAATAAAACTTTTATTGATGCAGAAAAGATAGCTATATACAGAGAAACATATTTCTGTGAAGGTTTTTTTTCTCATTAAATTAACTTAATTAACATAGGTTTCACATTAATAAACTAACCAACTTTTAAACAATCAGTCAGTGTATTCTAGGAAAAACATCACACGATGCCCCTTTCATTTAATGTTTAACTGTTATGTAATATTATGTTAACAATTACCTTTTAGATAAAAGGAAACTTTTTACCAGTTGGGCACACCCATGAAGACATTGATGCCTTGTTTGGCTGCTTCTCAAAGGACCTGAAATTGCAAGATATATATAAAGTTGATGGTTAGCTTTATATATGCAAAATGAAATGTGACGTATTATATGTTTTGAATATTTAACCCTCTTCAGCACTCTCTCCTTGACTGTAAAGACTCTGCTGTCATGCATGCATGACCATACAAAACAAGCTTGCAAATCAGCTAATCTTTTCCTTTCAGATTTATACAGGACCATATCAACCGCCTGCTGTTCGTGGCATTCGACATGATGACAACTATCTTGAAGCACTTTCCCCTGGAGTGCTTGTGGCAGTATATATTAGCAATTACAAGAAGAAACCAGTCATTGGAAAGGTAACTGAGGTTTGTGATATTGACTTTAAACTGGACTATTGGAAGGGCACATATAATACAGCCTGGCAACCACTTACAGAATGGTGAAGAGCAAAGAAGGACAAATACCTTGGAATGACACTCTCCCAAAACAGTCAGTGATTGTATGTTCATTTGAACTTGATGAGAACAACCATCTCTTTGAAAATACCCGGAAGTTTATAAAACGGTGGTATCGCGAGGAAGCCAAAAGGGTAAAAGACATATAGAATCAAAACAACTGTTCCTAGGCTTCCTAATGTAAACTAGAGTAACTGGCGCAAGATTATTTCAAACTAGCAAAATTGTCCAATGCAGTGTTGCCAGTCATATAATTAATTAGTTATGAATATTAGTATATTACAATTCCTGAATAGACATAATTCCTTCAATGAACCATTACAAAATGACATATCACTCATTCTGTATGAG